AGGGAGCGTTCCTCCTCACAGCCAGCAGCCTGACTGTTCGAGCAAGATGCCATAGCGACCCAAGCGGCCCGCATGGCATCAGGGAGATGTCCTGGCCGGGCCCCGCCGTGCCTCGGGCCCCATAGCGGCCGCCTGGGTAGCTATGGTGATTGTTACGCCACTGCTTACACCATATTGTGATAATCTTGGAAACAAACTATATTTATCAAATACCTACTCTTTAAAGAATCTTTGCTTGCACGTGGTACACATGAAGGGCTTCAGTGTATCATCATGATTTCCCAAATGTTCATAAACCTTATTCCATTCAGGCTCTGTATAATGATAAAAAAAAGATATGAGATGTTCAGAAAGATAGGCACTAAACTTCAGGTGAACAGCTAAATAAACAATTGAGATACTGTACATATAAAAAGGTAGCTAACCTGTAAACCAAAGCAAAACCGAAATTTAAAAAAAATGCCAGGCCGAAACCGAAAATGTTTTTTAATTTTAACTTTTTCAATTTTTTATTTATTTTTTATAAACTTTTTAATTTATTTATTCATTTTTAATAAAATATTTTATTTTTTACTTTACTTTTAGGGGCTTCAGGGAAATATTGGGGGTCTAAACAGACCCCTGATATTTATTTTGTAAAATAGAAAAAGAGGTTGAGAACACAGAGTCCTTAAGCTCTTTTTCTGCAGCCCCTGTTAGAAATGAACAGGAATCCTCTATGAGTGTTCCTGTTCATTCATAACATGAGGACATAGTGAGGGGATTTTATCAAAACTGGAGCAACTATGCACAGCAACCAATCAGCTTCTCTGGTTCATTTTCAAATCTTAAAATGAACAAACTGAAGAGAGAAGCTGATTTGTTGCCATGGACAACTGCTCCAGATTTTGTCTGCTCCAGTTTTGATAAATTTATTTCTGTGTGTTTACTATAACCACACTTATGAATGAACAGGAGGTGATGTAGATCACTTCCCATTCATAATTGAGGATATAGTAACCATACCATGTCCTCAATTATTTACAAACACTTAGCGATCACTGATCACTTGTACCGCTCTGCAGCCTGACACGATGTCACAGAAGGCTGAGCGAGCGGAGCTCAGCCTGCTGTGACAGCGCAGGCTGTCTCTGCCCACAGCGCTCTCCTCTGATCTGTGACAGAAGGCTGAGCGGTGCGGGGAGGAGAGACACTGGCCGCTCACAGCACTCTGCTCCCGCAGCGCTCGGCCGCCAGTGCCAGTTTCTCTCCTCCCCGCTGGGACACAGAGCATCTCCCAGCGGGGAGAAGAGAAAGATTGCATGCACCGCTGTATCGGCTAGAAAATTGCACTTTCGGCATTATTCCAAAAGTGACATTTTCGGCCAATATATATGGGTGAATCCCTAGTAAAAAGAGTTGTATTTCTGTTCATCCAGTCCTGGCATTTACACAGCTTTGCAACACAGCACAGCCAGGTAGATGACACCACTTCCAGCTAAATACAGGGGTGTCTACTCTCCACCCCCATCCTGCTGACTGGACAGTAAAAGTAGCAGACTCGTGAGGTCCTCAATCGTCTATCTCCTCCTATCAGCATGCTCCTTGTCAGCATATTTGCATGCAGCATATCTGACTGGCTACCAGTCCAGCCCTTCACTTTTCCCGTTTGAGTGCTGCTGTGCAAGGGATTGCAAAAGTCTCAGAGTGAGCGAAATTTAGGTTCTAACACTACTTACGTTCAATGATTTATTAGTTAATACATATCTGCATTAATTGGTGTCTTTTATGTTTGTCTGGAGTTAAGCTTCAATTAAAGTGACATTAAACCCACAGATTTTTTAACAAAAACCAATACTGTAATGTGTGCCTTACTGTAATCCATGGTAGTTTCCCCTCTCTTTGCTGCTCTTCCTTTTATATCCTCATGTCTTCTCATGCTTGGGGAGAGCTTCCCTTTGCAGCTCAGGGCCTCTTCCTGTAGTGCTGGCTCAGGTTTCAAGTCTATAGAAACGTATACACAGACACCGTGTATCCATTCCTGAGACAAGGCAGTCTGCTGCAAAACAGAAGTTCTGCAGAGCATGAGAACAGATACAGATTTAAAAGGAAGAGCAGCAAAGAGAAGGGAAACAACCATGGATTACAGTAAGGCACACATTACAGTATTGTTTTATGTTAAAAAATCTGAGGGTTTAATGTCACTTTAAACCTAAATATTGGGCTTTTTTACCTGCGGTTTTTAAACTGAAGATTTAAAAAGGTCTTCAAGTATATTCTAAGCCAAAACCTTTTTCATTTTGGATAGAGAAGAGGAGGATTAAGACTGCTGTCATTTTTTTGTAGTATTTAGATATCTGGATATATGTAGAGCCAGCTGTCACTCACGCAGCTGGGCGGATCTCGACATCGGGATCCGCTCCGGCGTCTCAGTATACCTCCCGTTACCCTAAGGAGAACTATGGGGAAAAGCCCTGACCCCATAGTTCTCCTTTAATACACGACAGGATACTTTGTCTCAGACCATTTAAGCTGGAGATGTTTATATGAGCTACATTTCTGTTAATTGTGCAGCTCCATACCTCCATTGGATTACCATTTGGATATAGAATTTATTTGGAATTGATATTGCATAATCATCTGCAAATACCTCTTTTTGGGTACCATCTATAGCAGGTGTCACTAAATGGTGGACCGCGGTGCGGGCACGGACCAAGTGGCGGCTCTATCCGGGCCATGATCGCCGACCTGCACTGGGTTTATAGCTACAGGACAGTGGATACACCAGCCTTGGAGGCCGGTGCATGCACTGCCAGTCATAACCCAATGCAGGCACCCCTCCGTCACTCCCTCGCTCCACCTACTCCCGCCGTCTGTGCATAGCCGGAACGCAAATTTGTTAGACGCAGTCAGATAGAGCAGTGTTTGTCTGGCCTGCTCTCTATCACACCTGAAAGAGCAGGCCCGCTGCACGGGGTACTGGGGAGCCGTAAGACTGCAGTGTGAGGTGAAGGTCATTAACTAGATGCTGCCTACATTTGGCATGAAAAACAGAGGGAAGGGCACTCGTGCTGTCTGTGGGGAGACAGGAGAAGAAGAAGGGGTCCAGCCAGCTGGGGCCTATCTAGTTGATAATATGCACCCTGAAAGACAAGGCCAGATCCAGGTATAAGGTGGGTCCTGATTCTTTCACTAGGACAATAGCAATGCTGCCAGTTACCATGGCAACAGGAGAGCATCTTCTGCATGTAGTGGTAAGAGGGCAGAAGTGACAACATTGTTAAGTGAGGGGAAAGAGAATGGTATAGGAAAGGGGTCTCCGAATGCCAGACCGTGGTCCACACATGGGCTGAGTGACCATTCTGTTGGGACTGCGATTCGGACCCCGGCTCAATGAAAATTTTACTCACCAGACCTCCTTGAATTTTATTTCACTACACCTAATCTATACCATTTAAATGCTAACAACATTGGATGTTGGAGTGAGTAACACAATATATTTGATCTGGGATCAACCAACATGTTAATATTTTTATGTTTATGGTCAAACTGAGTTGGCAGACAGATTTGTTTTTTATACATATGCAAATTGATCTAAACAGTGCCATCCATTAGAGCCCTTTAATACAGGTGGTCCAATCGGGTCCGCCTGTCAGTTTTTCGGATGGATCTGATCAGAAGCCCTATGTTAGCATATGGGCAGCCAGATCCAAATGGACATCTGCCTGTTTACATCCAATTACCCCCCGATCTCGTCCAGAAAACCAAAACACAACAAAGTTCTGTTTTGGCGGACCCGATAGCGACAGATTGGGGGTAACCTGATGTAAATAGACCGCTTACATCCGACTCCCATTGGTCCTAACATGGCACGTATAAGTTCACAAGGTGACATCTGTATCAAACTGCTCCAATCACTGGGGATCTGTGCACTTTACATCTGACCATTGCCTGCTGTCAATCAGCAGAGGAGGGACCTGAAGGAGAAAGCTCTTCTAGTGGCTACTGCAGTTTAAAATATCCAATAGCAGGATGGCTATTGCTGCCGGCCACAGGATGGACAGTTGATCCAAAGAGCGGGCACGGAGGGCGCAGCGGCTGACAGTGATCTTTTCTCCCCGCTTGGCACCGGCTGCAGTAGTCTGCCTCTGCTGATATAGGTGAGGAGAGCAGTGGGGATCGAAGGGGACACAGACCGTGGCAGGCAGCGGGCTCCCAGCGGGGAGGAGAATAGGAGGAGCAGAGCTGATTCTGCAGCGGAGGAGGCAGAGGTGGCGGCCGGGGACATTAGATGGGCTGCCAAAAGGCACCAAGACGCAAGTTCTAGTTGCCATGACAACCTGCGCCAGGGATTTGTCGAGCCCTGGGTTAGGGTATTAGTTGCTTGATTAATACATTTATTTTTTCCACAGTATGCTCTAAGGTCCTTTATCTTTTCTTCTCATGAAGAGTGTAATTTATTGGGACAAATTGCATACTGTATATTATTCATTAGGATTTTTGATATGATGTTGCTTGTGCACACACTTATTCAGCCCCCTTTTTATTCCTTTTTTTGATATTTGTGTCTGTGTATGATTTCTCTTTTTCTGTCCTGTAGACTCAATAGGAAGTGAGAGGATATCTCCAATTTGAAGGATATCCCCTGCTAGACAGTTGTCACAGGAAAAAGTGTTCACACTCTATTCCTGTTCCGGGGGCAATGCAAAATTTTGTATTCACCCACTTTCATTCCCAGTGATCACATTGGTGATCAGGACAATTACAGAGAGTGAATCTCCCTAAAGGGTATACAGACAGCACCAAAAACCTGACAGAGGTTGTAACCCCTAACCATTCTAAATCTTTAAAAAAAAATGCCTTTAAAAAGGAGAACTATGAGGCGAGTGAAAATCCCTCATCCGCATAGTTCGAGCCGACGTGTGACAATGAAACTGTTACACATCGGCTCAATAGATCGGGAAGTGAGCGAACACATACCGTCACTCGCTCACTTCTTGATCCTGTCCCTGCAGAGAGCCGTGATTGTCACTCATGGCTCCCTGCAGGGATTTCCCCCCCCCCTCCCCGATCCTCCAGCGCTGACTCGCGGGACGGACGGGGGAGGAGGCGGGTGCAGCTGGCTCTGCCTCTAGATAGGCAGAGCCAGCTGTCAATCAAGCAGCTGGGTGGATTTTGACAGGAATGTTGGGATCCATCCAGGCTGTGGCAGTCTCAGTATACCGCGAGCTGTAGCTCGCGGTATACTGAGCTTTGGGTCACGGGAGGATGCTAGTTTGTGTCCTCCCGTGACCCTTAGGAGAACTATGGGGAAAAGCACTGAGCCCATAGTTCTCCTTTAATTATACTTTATTTTTAATGCTGCCATTTTGTTATACTATAAGCTGTAACGAGCAGGGTCCTTCTCATCCTTTTGTATGGTATTTTATTCTAACTGACTTTCCCCCCATATATTGTAAGGCGCTGCGCTAACTGTTGGTGCTATGTAAATCCGTTATAGTCATTTTTTATTTTATCTTTGGTACTCTGACTGACCTTAAGTCAATTTAAAAATAAATTAGCATCTAAGCTAAATTAACAAGGACACATACCCACTAGCCCACAATGGCAACACTTGAAGACGTCGTCATGATGGCACGCCACGTGAAGGTTTCTGAGACTGTCACTGTTAAATGATAAAGGGCATTTGGTGCACAGGAACACTTCGCTCTTCTTGTCATGTCCTTTAATGTGGTTTTTCCATGCACTCTGCGTCAGGAACCTTCTCTCACACACCTGACACTGATAGCTCTTTCTTACTAGATGGTGGCCTTTTATGTGGTTGTCCATATGGCTCCATTCAGTCATGAGACAGCCACAATAGACGCACTTGAAGCCACCGCCAGGTTTGTGGCACTGCATGTGTATTTTGTAAGTGTCTTTTGTTTCCAGTTGAAGCTGACAAGAGGAACACACATAGTTTGGTTTCTTAGCACTATCTTCGTTGTTCTGCCCATCCGCCTTGGAGGTTAGATTGGTTTCTTTGGAAGGTTTGCTTTCTGTCCCGACACATTCACCGGCCGTGCTGCTTTTAGCAACCTTTGCCTCTGCCGATGAAGGAATGGGTCGTATGCTAGATATCCGATAAAGACCAAGAGATAAGAGGTGCTCGCACTGTGCATCATCTTCATCTTTGCCTTTGGGCGAATTTGCACGGCTCGATGGTGGAACGGAGTCACTGGGAACAGACTCATCTAACTGGAAGTCTGACTGTTCCCCTTCAAATAATGAATTGACTTCACTTGCACTGGCTATATTTGTGTTAGCACTTTGGTCCCCGAGGCTAATATCACAGGACGCAGGGCTCATTGTGTTTAGCATCCTATAAAGGAAAGGCATTTTTTCAAGGTTTTCCTCATTTTCTTTGTTTTCCTGTGCCATTTCCTCCCCAATACTATATGAATCATTTTCCTCATGGTCTGTGTTCTCTGGGATGAGATGTGTTTGGTCTAACTGGTGAACATCCAACACATGATGACACACTTTGTTTTTTAAGCTGCTAGTAAACTGGCATAACTTACACCTGTAAATCTCCAGCAGAAATACCTCCACCAGATTGGCTATCCTGGCATCGAAGTTCTCTGCGCTGGATGCGTAAAAGCAAGACGTTGCAATTTCGGCACTGATATGCAATGTTGCAGGAGTTATATGCTTGACTTTCAACTTGATTTCGTCCATTTCTAAAATGGGAACTAGCAGCAAACCTATGAAAAGAACAAACAACTGTTACAAGGAGTCTAACAAAGTGAAGAGCTACACATATTTATATACTTCTCATTCTCAGAAATAAAAGTAGTATTAAACTCTCATACTCTCATACAGATACAAGAAGATTGCCAAGATCCTGAAAATGAGCTGCAGCACGGTGGCCAAGACCATACAGCGATTAAACAGGACAGGTTCCACTCAGAACAGGCCTCGCCATGGTCGACCAAAGAAGTGGAGTGCACATGCTCAGCGTCATATCTAGAGGTTGTCATTGCTGCAGAGGTAGAAGGGGTGGGGGGGTCAGCCTGTCAGTGCTCAGACCATACACCGCACACTGCATCAAATTGGTCTGCATGGCTGTCGTCCCAGAAGGAAGCCTCTTCTAAAGATGATGGACAAGATGATAACGACCCCAAACACACCTCCAAGACGACCACTGCCTTGCTAAAGAAGCTGAGGGTAAAGGTGATGGACTGGCCATGCATGTCTCCAGACCTAAACCCTATTGAGCATCTGTGGGGCATCCTCAAACGTAAGGTGGAGGAGCGCAAGGTCTCCAACATCCACCAGCTCCGTGATGTCGTCATGGAGGAGTGGAAGAGGACTCCAGTGGCAACCTGTGAAGCTCTGGTGAACTCCATGCCCAAGAGGGTTAAGGCGTTAAGGCAGTGCTGGAAAATAATGGTGGCCACACAAAATATTGACACTTTGGGCCCAATTTGAATATTTTCACTTAGGGGTGTACTCACTTTCGTTGCCAGCGGCTTAGACATTAATGGCTGTGTGTTCAGTTATTTTGAGGGGACAGCAAATGTACACTGATATACAAGCTGTACACTCACTACTTTACATTGCAGCAAAGTGTAATTTCTTCTGTGTCGTCACATGAAATGATATAATAACATATTTACAAAAATGTGAGGGGTGTACTCACTTCTGT